TGGAGTTGTTAACCAATGTCATAAAACAATATGTGTACTGACTGTTTAATGAGAAACTATTTGTTCTGTAAACCTTCATCTAAAGTACAATAAAAAAATTTAAAAAAAGTGTAACCTATTACAATTCTAATTTTAAATGCATTTATGTTCAGTTGGGAATTCTTGTAATCTAAAATCATTCAATTCCGAGATCAAGGGATGTTAGTAATCAAAGTTAAATTATGTTTCACATCTGATTTGTCTTCTTAATCATGATTTTACTGTATCGGTATGTATATGTAGTAAATTTTATAATTTAATATAATTTAAAAATTACTTTGCACTTCCTGAATATGAAATTATTTCAGCCTTGAGAATAAAGAGAGTGCTTGAGCTGATCATTAAAGGTAGTTAGCTCAATAAGAAATTTATTAGGGACAATAAATAAAAACGTTATGCCTGGCCATTAAAAGTTTACTACTTTTAAGTATATTTGACATTTCTATTTAATGTTTGCCCTGATTGATGGTATATTTTTAAAGCAGCATCTCATGAGAGGTGAGAAAGTATCTGTCACAAAGCAGCAGAGAAATGACTTTGCTTTTAAGACTATTTTTTGTTACTGTATTTTGCACCATACCTTCTTATTATTATAAAAGCTTTCCAATTACAGAGAAATATAGGGGATAGTATAGCAAACACCCACGTACCTCCCATCCATATATAACAAAGTTAACGTTTTGCTATATTTGTCTTGATTTTTTTTTAAGACAGAAAAATATTTCAGAAACAGCTTGAAGTCACTTTTGTACCTCTCCCTGATTCCATTTACCACTCTCCCACCCCACTCTCATACCCCAGAAGTAACCTCTATCCTGTAATTAGTGTGTATTTTTTATGATTATTTAAAAATTCTTACTGTATTTTATGTGTCCATATATGTCACGTGTAGAATTGTATTTTTTTTAATTTTACATATATAGTGTATGTATCTTTCTATAACTTCTTTTCATGCAACGTTGTTTTTGAGATTTCCCAGTAATTCACAATATAATAACATACAGGTGGTCCCTGATTTATGACATACTCGAGTTACAGCGAACTGCACTTACTACCATCTTTTTTTTGTACAGCTTATCGTTATTAGTATGTACTACATGCAGTGTTGTAGTACATAATTCGCTGACATTATTCTCAGATGTTCACTTGCAGATGTTCAATGTTAGGATTTATAAAGATACTGATAATAAAAGGCAATAATAATGAAAACTTAAAAAAAAATGAGATATTTGACTTAGGTCAAAACTGACTTAATGACAGAGTCATAGGAATGGAGCCCTACTGTAAGTCAGAGACTACTTGTAGTTCTAGTTCATTGCAATATCATTTGATTAGAGAAATATCACAATGTATTTTTAAGTTTTTATTTTTGTGCTTTTGTTAAGAGTGTGACGTCTACAGTTTAATTAATATCTGTATATTAATTATTTAAATAATGTAGTGCATTGGATTTTTCTATACCCAGGCTCCTGAGGTTATTATGTCTCAACATTATGATGCTAAGGCTGACTTGTGGAGCATAGGAACAGTGATATACCAGTGCCTAGTTGGAAAACCACCTTTTCAGGTAACCTTATTTTTTTGTTGGTGCTTCCTGCTTGGCCTGGCTTTGGGGTCCTGGAATCCAAGTGTGGGCTGGAATTGGTTCTGGGAAATCACTGGAAACTCTATTTCCATCTCTGTTCCTGATCACTGCTAGGTGAGAGGGAGTGTATTGCTTAGACTTTATGGGAAATTATTTTGGGTCTTTCTTGCCCTTTTCTGCTTCTCTGACATCCTGTTAAAAGCCCTCTAGATTGCAATCATTATGATTTCTTCTTGAATTTATATTGCCTATGTTATAATTACTTAAGTTACAAAGAGTTTTTTTTAATCTGAAAACTGGAACAAAATGAAGTTATTTTCTCAAGATGGTATAAAAAAAATCAAACTCTTCTTAATTTCCCAGTATAATTTGTATATACAGCCAGCTTCATTAATTCAGTAGCTCTTTTTATGAGGGTGTTATTTGGGTCTCTGGAGAGATTGAGTAGTAGTAGTGTATACTTAGTTCTCTTCCTTAAATCCACTGAACGTCCTAAGGCAAAAACCCAGATTTTACATAATGAAAGTGTACCTAATTGGATAGGCCTTATAATCTCCAGAATAGTGGTTTTTAACCTTTTCTAAGTTTCAGGCGCTTTGTAGAGACTGATCTCAGAAAAGGTGTACTATGCTCAGATATGCAGAGTTTGCACGCAATTTCAGAGGTTTTTTAGAAGTTTCTAATGCCCAGCTCTGGCTCCCTCAGCAATCCATGGCTTTTAAGTTTAGAATCTATGTTCTGTAGCAAGAATATGAATGTCAGTCATGTGATTTGAAATTTTTGTCCCCATTAAGAAATTAACCCCCCTTTTTTTTTTTCTTTAAACAGGCCAATAGTCCTCAAGACCTAAGGATGTTTTATGAAAAACACAGGAGCTTAATACCTAGGCATGTGATTTGATTATACAGGGTTTTACTATTTGTGAAACTATGTTATTTATTTGAACTCTGTTTTTTATATTTCTGTTGTTGAATATTTTTTTCAATTGACAGTAATGCTAGAGCATTTGTTATAATAGGAAGTTAGAAAATTACTAGAGCTTTGTAGGTGCCTTTGTAGTGCTATACTAGTTTCTTTTTTTTTTTTATGTGAAGTTATTTTTTCTTTTAAAAGAATAAAGTTACAGAAGTTATATGTGTTCCTTAGATGAGGTAGATGCAAATAGAACAGATGTGCATAAAGTAGAAAGTAAAATTTACCCTGAAACTTTCTCCCACCAAGGATAACAAAAGTTTTGCTTTGTATTTTTCCAGATCTTTTTTTGTGTTTGAGTGCTTGTTTACATGTATATTTATACACATGCATGTGGTTTAATACAGATCACATCATATTATGCAAATTGTTCTGCAACGTACTTTTTTTTTTACTCTACAGTATATGACAGTTGTTGTTTAGCAACAGTATGTATAGAATGACTACACAGAGTCCCACAGTTTAGATGTACTGTATTTTATTTTATCACATCCCTGTTGTTCTCATATTTTGGTTATTACAAGCAAGATTTAGTAAAAAGTGTGAGTGTGTGTGTATACCTTTGGGCATTTGTACATTTGTTTAGGATGGACTCCTAGAAATGGAATTGTTGGATCAAAAGTTATGCTTTCCAAATAAGCTCTATCAGTTTATACACCCGTCAGCAGTATATAAGAAAGCTGCCTTCCCCACGTTTTTACCAACGTGTTATCAGACTTGAAAATTTTAACCTCACAAATGGAAGAGGATAAATTAGCTATTACTTTCATTTGCATTATTCTCATCATTAATGAGGTTGGATTTTTTCTATATGTTTAATATCTTTTTGTACTTGTTTTTCTGTGAATTGTATATTCTTACTATTTACTCAGTTTTCTATTGCTTTGTCTTTTTCTCATTGGATTTTAGGAAGCTGTATTATATATTTCTCACTTGTATTTATTTAAGCTCTGCCCTCTTGCAGACAGAATTTGAAGTGGCCCTTTTTCTAATAGAGAACTTTATAGCAACTATTAATACAAGGGAAAGGAAGAGCCCTGGTGGCACAGTGTTTAAAGCACTCAGCTGCTAACCGAAAGGTTGGCAGGTTGAACCCGCTAGCCACTCCACGGGAGAAAGACGTGGCAGTCTGCTTCGGTAAAGATTACAGCCTTGGAAACCCTATGGGGCAATATACTCTGTCCTGTAGGGTCACTGTTTGTCAGAATCGACTTGACAGCAAAAGGTTTTTTATTAGTACAAGGTTGAAGTGTATTAAAACTCAAGATTGTGTGTGGTTGTGCAGTACTTTCTTCATGCCAATACACTCTGACAAACAATAATAAGCACAGTACAGGAATCTTTCTCAAATTAATGGTGTTTCTCAAAGGCAGTTGTTCAGTTTTTTTTCCTTTTGCTTTAAGGTATGAGGCTTTACCATGATCTTCTTGGTATAAACTGTAGTATTTGTGAAACTGCATATGCATTTACCATAATGAAGACAAGCATCACGTAGTTAATATATATAAACTCATCACTTAGGTTGTTTTTTTTCCTTTCCCTCAGTATTCCCAGAGAAACATCACCTTATTTGGCTAATCTCCTTTTGGGTTTACTTCAGAGAAACCAGAAAGATAGAATGGACTTTGGTAAGTAATATTTTTCAGAGTTTGTATGCTTTCTCATTTTATTTTGATGTGTTCTGAAAAGATTTTTTTAAAAAAAGATATTATACTCGTTTCAGAATAAAATTTCAGTCAATTTAATTTTTCAATCTCTTTGTCTTTTTTTTTTTTTAATTAAATATTTTTTAAAACATGATTTCCCCCACATGAAAAATTTGTCATATACCCTTCTAGTCTTGTTTTCCTGTTTTAATTAAAAATGTTTAAGTGCCTACTGTGTTCCAGGTACTGAGGATACTGTAATAAAATCCCTGTCCTCATCTAGCATATATTCTAGTGGAGAAGAAATCAGTAAGCAAATTATAAACTATAATTATATATTAGAAGTTATTAAGTACTGTGGAGATAAAGAGGGGAAGAGAAATGTAAGATAGGGTGGAGATTGAAATTTTAAGTAGGGTCGTCAGGGAAGACCTCACTGAGAAAGTAACATTAAAAAAAAAAGACTTGATTGATGATGTTTAGAGAGCAAACCATGTGGATATCTGTGGGAAGAGCTTTACAGACAGAGTGGATAGCCAGTACAAATGCCCAGAGCTAGAAGCATGTAAGCTTCAGGAACAGCCAGAAGGCCAGTTAAGGGTTTGGGTTTTTGCTCAAAGAGAGATGGAGAGCCATTAGAGTATTTTGAGCAGAGGCATAATATAATCTGACTGATGTTTTAAAAAGGATCCAGTATGGTTACTGTACTGAGAATAGACTGGGCCAGGAGCAGGGGTGTGTGGACGGCAAGGGCAGGAGCTCAGATACTTATTATTAGGAGACTATTGCAGTTACGTACGCGAGAGATGAACCTAGCTTAGACTAGGGTAATAACAGTGGTGGTGGTGAGAAGTAATTGGATTCTGGATCTTTTTGGAGATAGAGGCAACTGATGGATTGGATGTACATGTGAGAGAGAGAAGACTCAAGGATGACTTCAGGATTTTTAGCTTGAACAACTGCAAGGGGGGAGATATCAGTTACAGAAATGGAAAGAATGGACTATAGGGACAAGATACCCATTAGACATCTAAATGCAGATGCCAAAAAAGGCACTTGGATTTCAGAGGAGAGGACTAGACTGGAGATATATTTGGGGGTCGTCAGCCTATGAGTGACAGTTATTAAGTAGATTTTCTAGTGTACCATTTAAATTCCTTTGTTGATTTTTATAACTTTTTTGTTATTAATGGATTGCTCTAGGGGTTACAATATGCATCTTAACTCATCACAGTCTACTTCAGATAAATACTATTGTATTTTTATGTAAATAACACGTCTTCTATGTTTGTTTTCCAGTCACTCCCTCCTCCTGCGAGATATTTTCATAAGCACCAGTATGCTAATTTTTTTTGCAAGTTGCTTTATAAGGAAGCTCACCTAGCAACAGATTCTCTCAGAATCTCTGTTTATCTTGGCATGTTTTAATTTCATCTTCATTTTGGAAAAATAGTTTTGCCAGATATTGAATCTTGGTTGACAGTTTTTTCCCCCAACACTTTGAATATGTCATACCGCTGCTTTCTGGCTTCCATCGTTTCTGCTGAGAAGTTAGCTGTTACTCTTCTAGGATTCCCTTGTGTGTGATGAGTCTTTTTTTTTCTTCTAATTCCTACTGTCTAGATTTTCTCTTTGTGTTTGACTTTCAACAGTTTTAACTATGATGTGTCTAGAAGTATATCTCTTTGTGTTTGTCCTACTTTGGCGTGCATTGAAGTTTTTGGATAGATTAAGATTTTATTTTTTTATGAAATTTGAAAAGTTGTCAGCCATTATTTCTTAAAATATTCTTTCTGCCCTTCGTCTCTCCTTTCCTTCTGGAGCTCTTATTACATTCCTGATGTTTGATGGTGTCCCACAGCTCTTTGAGTCTTTTCATTTTTCTTCATTGTTTTTTATTTTTGTTCTTCAGATGGGAAAATATTTATTGATCTATCTTCAGGTTTGCTGGTTCTTTCTTATGCCAGCTCAAATCTGCTAGTAAAACCCTCTAGTGAAGTTATCATTAAGTTATATTCTTACAACTTCCAAATTTTTTATTTGGTTCTTTTTGATAATTTCTGTCTCTTCATTGATATTTTCCATTTGATGAGTCATAATCATCGTACTTAAAAAAATTCTTTAAATATGGTTTCCTTTAGATCTTTGAATATACTTATAGAATCCACTTTGAAGTCTTTGTCTGCTAAGTCCAACATTTGGCCCCTTCAGAGACAGTTTCTGTGACTGATTTTTTCCCTGTGTATAGATGACACTTCTCTGTTTCTTTTCATGTGTTGCAGTTTCTTGTTGGAAACTGCACATTTTATATATTGTAGCAACTTGGGATCCTGTCTTCCCTACTTCTGCATTGGGGGCCATTGTTGTTGCTGTTTGCTTATTTATGTGTTTAATGACTTGCCTGGACTGAATCTCTTTTTTCTTTTTTTTTTGAAGCCTTGTCTTTTTTTTTTATAGCGTTGCTTTTATTTTGGCACAGTGATTAAGAGCTCGGCTGCTAACCAAAAGGTTGGCAGTTTGAAACCACCAGCTGCTCCTTGGAAACCCTACGGGGCAGTTCTACTCTCTCCTATAGGGTCACTATGAGTCAGAATTGACTCGACAGCAACAGGTTTATCTTTAAGCCTAGTTTCCTAGGGGTCACCCTGGGTCAGCATTTCTTAGTGGTAAGTCAGTGATTGTTCAGAGATTGTGCTTTAACACTTAGAGACAATGAGGCTTCCTCCATTTGTTGCTGGATCTGTGTGTGTCTTCAGGAACGCTTTCAGCGTTCAAGCAGTTATAAATATGCCCTGACTTTTACTTTGAGCATTCACAAGGTATCACGTTTAGCCAGGGGTAACTAGCTTGCTAGGATCCTGTTTGGTTTCTCCTGAGCATGTGCACAGCCATGCCTATGACCACAGCCTTCCAGACTGCCAGAAAGAAGTATGATTTTATCAAGGCCCACTTTGACTGCTTTCTTCCTGGATCTCTTTGTTAAATTTCTAGCTGGCCTACTGGTCTATTGCTTTCCTCAACCAGCACTGAGACCTCATGCTAACTGCAATGTTGGCCATCCCTGACTGTTTGCTACTGAGATCGCTATTGTTTTTGCATGGAATTTTAGAGCTTTTTTTCCTGATAAAGTCAACTCCTCCCACTACATTGTTAGAACTTCTGCCTAGGTTCTCAGCGCCTGTCCCACGCTGATAGGACTACAAACCATGGAGCTGGGGGATAGGAAGAGGGTGGGAGCAGCCCTAGGCTGAAATGCCTTCTCCTTTAGGACTTCTCCAAAGGAGGCTGCCTATACCTGGATTTTAGCCTGGTGAGACCCATGTCAGTCTTCTGACCTGCAGAACTATGAGATAATATTTATGTTGATTTAAGCTGCTAAGCTTTTGATGATTTGTTACAGCAGCAATAGAAAACTAATATAGTGGTACTTCACATTTCATTACATCCAGAGGCACATAATGTTTGATTGGCTTATCTTTAGTGATACTGATTGGTTCAGGTGGTATAGCCTGAGCAGAAGTTTTTTTTGTTTTGTGTTTAAAGATGGAGTATGTAACAGTGCACTTCTATGCTGGTGGAACAACCCAATAAAGAGGGGAAATTGATGTTGCAGGAGACATGGGGGAGAATTGCTTTTTTTTTTTTTTTTTAAATAGTAGGTAAGAGGGGATGGGATTTAGGAAGTAAGTGGAGTGATTGGCTTTGAATATTATTTTATGGCGCTAAGCTGTCTGTGAATTCTTGGTCCTGGTGTTTTGTTTACTGTGCTACTAAATTTGTCTTGCTATTTTGTTTAGGTTTTTGTAGCTAGATTAGTAATTGAGGCTGGCTTTTAATGTCCCTTTTTTTTTTAAATTTTTCTCTATGCTTGTCTTCTTTAACCTGGAACAGTTTCATATTGTAGAGATTATTCAGTCCTTTAAGGTTTTTAAAAAATCAACTTCATTAAGGTGTAATTTACATACAATAAAAAATGTACCCATTTTGAATGTACAGTTTGATGAATTTTGACTAATGCATATACTCATTCAGTATGGAGCACAATTAATATAGAACATTTCCATTACACCAAAAAGTTACCTTGTTTCCCTTCCCAGTCAGTACCTATCCTTCTACTCACCCCTCCCCTCAGGCAATCACTGATCTGCATTCTATCAATATAGATCAGATTTGTTTTTAGTATAATGTTATAGAAATGAAATTACATAGTATGTACTCTTTTGTGTCAGGTCAGGTTTATTTGGTCAGCATAATGGTTTTGAGATTCATTCATGTTGTTGCATGCATCTGTAGCTTATTCCTTTTTATTGCTGAGTAGTAGTTCATTGTAGAGGGCATTTCAGTGGTAGAATTCTCACTTTTGATGTAAGAGAACCTAGGTTCTGTTCTCGGCCAGTGCATCTCAAGTGCAGCCAGCACTTGTGTCAGTGGAGGCTTGCATGTTGCTATGATGCTGAACAGGCTTCAGCAGAGCTTTCAGACTAAAACAGAATAGGAAGAAAGGCCTGGTGATCTACTTCCAAAAATCAGCCAGTGAAAACCCTGTGAATCACAGCAGTCAGATCCCGTTGTGCATGGGGTCACCATGAGTCAGGGGCCAACTTGATGACAGCTAACAACAACAACAAAGTATTCCATTGTGTGAGTATACTGTTTTGTTAATTCATTCAGCTGTTGATGGACGTTTAGCTTGTTTTCCATTTTGTTACTATTATGAATCAAGCTGTTGTAAACATTTGTATACAAGTTTTTGTATGGATGTAAGTTTTCATTTTTGTTGGATAAATAACTTGGAGTGAAATTAATTGGTGGCTTGTATACTAAGGATACGTTTAACTTTATAAAATCTCCCAAATTGATTTCCAAAGTGGTAGTATTATTTTATATTTCCTCTAGCAATATGTGAGTAGCCCAGTTGCTGCACATTCTTTCAACACTTGGTGTGGTCAGTTTGCAATTTTAGCCCTTTTGATTGATGGGTA